CCTTGCCATGCAAACCCAATACAATCATGCATTTCCAGATTCTTATATTGTCACTACAGATTTCATCATGCTGCTATTGATTTGCTACCTGAACTGAATTCAGTTTGTGTTTGACCAACATTCTGAAGGTTTATCTTTTCTATTTCTTTTGTTCAAGTAGATGATTGACAGAATATGTGTAAAAGTGCAAGATCATCTCAACTCTTTAAGAAACTGTGGTGTGGATGCTGTACAGGAAGATGTCAAATCTGCAGAACGGCTTATGCGAGATGCTAAGAACTCCAAAACAGTAAGCCTTTCCCAGCATACTGATAATACTGAGAGCAGTTCAGTGTGTGCTTGCAGCTTTTCTCTTTTTGGGAGGAAAAATCTCTTTATCAGAGAGGTTTCCTGCTACCTGTCCAGATTTGAAGACAGCTAATGATGAGCCTATTTTCTAAAGATACTCTTTCTGTCTTATAGCTCTTACCAAATCTGTATCACCTCGGTGGAGCTTCTTGGGCAGGAGCAAATGGTTCACTCTCCAATCCAATCCAAGAGACACTTGAATCCATGGCTGGAGAAGTCACAAGGGTTGTGGATGAGCAACTTAAGGTCTGTGGATAGATATGTCACCAGCTGTCACATGCAGAAATAACTGATATCTTCTGTTGCTAAAGGCAAATGTACCACATTTTTATTTTTCCACTTCTCAGGATACTTGTATGTAAGTTATCTGGATACTTGCCCAATTGGAATGAAGAAAGTTGCTTTAGTGTTTGCAGTGGGCAGAAGGAGCATATACTGTTTATTATTATCTTATCTTCTAGAGGGGAAAGATTTATCAGTTGCTCCTTAGACCGTCAAAAAAAGGCATCTCTCAAGCACCTTAAGAAGTCTCATGCCCTGGAGAAAAGTACTCATTAGTTAAGTTATCCCAGTGGAGGGAAAGCTGCTTTTCTACAAACTCCATTGCAGAGGGTTTTTTTTCTCAGTGACCAGTTTTGAACCTGGTACAGAATTTCCACCTTAACTGTTTGGTTTGGATAACTTTTATGTATTGAGAGTCCCCCAAGAATTAGTACAGGCAGCTTTACAGGAAATCTTTTCACAAGTTGCCTGTCAAACTTCAGTTCTTGAAATAGATGTCATTGGTCTGTAAATATTCTCACCTGTGTGTTCAGCCAGCTCTTGCTCAAACACTTTGCCTTCAATTATGTTAGATCTTGCTGTATAATAAGCAAGGAAGAGTCATCCATACAGCATAAGCAAAGGTATCAGTCCAAGAAAAAGTCAAAATGGGGAAGATTTAGCAACCATTAGAATCTGTATGAAAGCTGATGAATTTAAGAATATTGTTCTGAGGCAATTCAGATCAGCTTAAGTTTATGACTAAGCTACCTTGCCTATGTTTTGCTATATTTAAACTTATCAGAGAGTCTGAAAGTAGAGATTGAACTTTCAGTTGAAACAACATGAAAATGCTTTAGTCAGTGAGAATGTAATGAAGAACAATAATAATATCACATTACTAATTATTTTTTCGAAATTAAAAAGTTAATGAGGAGGAAAATACTGCTGAATTTTTAGTATTTTCCTCCCTTTCCTCATTATATGAAATAAGATGAAGATTCTTTATAACTTTTTTTTTTTTAATTTCTGCAAAACCAGGACAACATGAAAGTGATTTATCCACAAGATTCTTCCCAGTGGAGCTTCTAGAGATGGGAATAGTCAGGTCAGCCTTTCATGCAGGGCTCATGCACTTAAGTATTTAAGTCCTGTGCATTTTGGAAGTCCTATGGAAGAGAAGGGGGGCAGAAAAAAGCCTCTTCAGCATTTGGAATGTTATTTATAGTTCCTGGAATAAGATTGAGTTAATAAGTCTTCCATTTGTGCTTTTACACATTTACAGCAAAAGGCACTTTAGCTCAACCATTCTAACTTTTACATTTGCTTTTGATTTATGCGGCGTTCAAGGTTTAAGTGCCTTACAAGAAACTGTAAAGTCATGATGCTCTTTGTATATTATAACACTAATTTTTATTAATTTTAACTCAAGGCTGAAAGGTTTTCCTTTAAGTTCTGTGGTGTTGTACTTTGCATGGAGGAGAAAAGGAGAAAATGTTGAATGTAGATTATGATTTTTTTTTTTTTTTTTACAGTTTTTTAGGTCAATTCAAAACATCATATGCAGATTATTAATTGTGAAGATAGAAAAGGGAGCTCACATAAGTACGGTTCCTTTTTGTAATTGTGGGGGGAAAACATCCTATGTGCTGTACGTGGAGTTTTGATTTTTAGCTTCCATAGCAACCAGAGCATGATTCTAGAAAGCAGTGTTTGGAAATTGGGTAAACCAATGAAAGCTCTTCAGGCAAATAAGATTTTTTAATTATTTTTTTTTTAACCTCAGAGGAGGGAAGGAAGAAGTTAAAATAAGTAAAAGCAGCATCTTGGAGTGAGTTAAGTTGGCCAAAGCAGAAATTATAGCAAGACCCTTGCATTTCTCTTCTCCTGCTGATGTCACTGTGGACACACAGACCCCAGAGATGCTTTATTCAGTTGGCAAACACCCAAGGAAAAATTGTAGGCCAGATAATTGGTTCGTAGGCAAGAGAAGATTGTTTTGTAAGGGCAGAAGTGCTTGAACTGTTCCTCCTCAATTCTGTCCTAGTGCAAAGGGTTTGTTGGCTCCATCACCTGTTCCATTTTTTCTTTTGATATCATCATACTCCAGTCCTTTTACTTGCTGTTTCTTTCTCCTGAATGTTAAGAGTCATTAATTGTGGGCAGGACTTCGTTCTCTTCTTTCTGCATGCCTGCTGACTGGACTTGTGGCTGAAATGTTTGCCTCTCCACAGTCAATATTGTTAGCTGTGAGTTTCCTTTTCTGAAAGGTTTTTTGAATGGAAGTAGGGGGTGGTGAAAGGTCTCTGTAGATGTGATAGTAGTCATGTGAAATCAACAGTTGGAATCCACCACTGAAGAAATTATGTTCAGTTGTGCACTTAAAGAGGAGACTTAAACTCTATTTCACTTTTAAATTGCACACTCTTGGAGTATTTTGAGTAAAAATTAATTTTGAAATTATCAGGTAAGATCTTAAATCTTTCCTTCTACTTTGCACTGACAGCTTCAAGCAGCAGTTCTTCCCATGATCTGTTTTGAAAGACCATGCTTAGACTGCAATTGTAATTCAACATATCGAGCCTTCATAACTTTTATGATTGGGATCCATTGGTGACTCTTGGGAGGCTTGAGTGTGATTTTTCAAGATAGACTACACAGTTGCACCAGTGAATAAATGCCATAGGCAAAAACTGATGTGTCAGAAATTCTCCTTAGTAGTTTACCTTGCTCAGTTGTCTCTGCCATTGAAGTTCTTCATCCTGTATGTAGATATGGCCGCAGGGGCTTGAAAGGCTCTTTGTTGGTGTTAGGGCCCCAGAATCTGCTTGGGGACTGAAGGAAGCAGTGCAGGAGGAGTCCTTAAAAGTGCAGAGAGGAAACAAGCTACATATAAGCTATAGTGGCATCTGTCCTCATACCTGTAAATCAAATGTTGTAAAGATTAGACTTCCCTGTACTCTGTGGCTGCTTCATGCTGCTGTGTTGTCCTCATGAATCTACATTTTAAAATCAATCCATTAAGAGCTACACACTGAATGATGCTGCTTTGAATTATTAAAATTATTATGCAGTAATGGTATTTTTGTTTCTTACTCAGTATCTGCATATGAAAATTGCTTGTTATGATAGTGCTATGCAAAGAGAAAAAAGCTCTGATAAGATAAAGTTCAGCCTGAGATCACTTACCTGTGGAGTGAGATTGCGAAGAAAAAGGAAATCAGTAGAGTTTTCAAGGGATGCATCTCATTATTTTTGTACAATTCTGAAGCACCCAGGTTAGGCTTAATGAAACTGCAATTTGGGGGTTTTTTTAACTTTTAAGTACCTTTTTCTGTTTGATTATCAAACTTCAGTGTTACTGGAGATGACATGGCCCATTTCAGTAGACTAGGCTCTGCTCCACTTGTTTAGAGAATTCAAAGTTGGGGGAAATGGGTCTTGCATGTACACTGAAGCATGAACCAACGACAGTGTCTCTATTCTTGCTGCCACCTTGGAAGCACCATAGAGTGAGGAGACCCCACAGTCACTGGAGTGCAGCAGTGTGACAGCTTCAGTGTGCAGAGGGACCTGCTGCTGGAGAGAACCATCCACTTACAGATCTTTCCTAAGTAGCACTTCATGCTGGGAATGGATGTGGAAGGTTTAGTTTCAGATCTTGTACTGCTGAGCCTTGACCTCTTGCAATCTCTGAAAGAAGTAATTTGATGAGAAATTAACTGATGGTTGAACAGCCTTCTGCAGATACCTAAAATAGATTTCCTGAGTTGCTGGGACTGGAGTTGGAGTAAGGTGGATATAAGAGAGAATTTGAACAATGAAAAAATTCCAGTCTTATCAGAAAATACTGCTTTGTGTTTATAAATAAATCTGGTTTACTGTACACAGGGTATGTACCAGCATGTAGATGAAACAGTATGAATTTAAAATTTAGCTTTCCACATGACCAGCTGATTGTTTTATACCTTCTGTGGTCCTGTGTAACCATTTTGGATACAAAAACTGAAAGCAATGAGAGGAAAGATTTATCTCCTGATACAGAGCACTAGTAGCATTTCTGTGTCTCATCCTGATCCTTATGTGTGTACATTTGAGCTTTCCTGCACTTTTCATGACACAAGTTCATACATGGATGATTATGTGAGGGACTGTGAGCCCCAACCTGCGCCTGTAGTGAGGGCTCTTTAGCATTCTAGTCAGAGCTGGGGTTTGGAAAAGAAACCAGTCAGTAATAAAACAGGATTTGAACCAGAATTACCTTTTCTTACAGGCACAGGTAGGAGATAAATCTAATGCAAGTGAAAGGGCCTTCATAACATAACTTCATAGCACTGAGGTATATATGAAAGACTTTTACAAAGACAAAGTCTAAGAGGGAAAAATTTTACTTTAAACCATCAGCAAGGGAGACCTTATTTTAAGAAAAAGAAAGTTGAGGGGTTACATGGTCCTGTTTCTGGAGTGTGTATGATTTTCTTCTGTCCTAGTTTGGGGTTTTGATCAGTCTTTAAAAAAGAATAAAAATTGCTGACTGTACCTAAGGTTCACTGTGGACTTCCCTGTATGTAAATGACGATCATATATTAAAGGTTTGTATGTCCACTGCAAATCATACTTGTAGATGCTTCTTAACATTTGACTAGTACATTCCAGCCCTGTACAGCATGCCAAATTTTCATGAGTCTCCTTTCTTCATATGCGAATGCCTGTTACAAATAGGCAGGTCTGGAGCACTGATGAAAATCGCTGGTTCAGGGCACAGTTTAGAGCGAAGGCAGCGGCAGCAGAGCATCCACTGCTTTTGCAGCACGCAGGGGCAGCAGTGGTGGGTGCACAAGGGAACCTAATTTATTGTTCTGACAATTAAACACAGAGATGTAAATGTTTCATATTTGAAAAGGCAAACAAGTACAGTTGTGGGTTGTTTTCAAAACAAGTATATTGTTCCTCCTCACCTTTACTTTGTAAAATGCCTTTTATATTGCAGCTGGATTGCAAAATGGATTAGAAATTGGGAAGAAAAATTGTAAAAATGACAAGTCTAAAAGTGTCATAGTGTTATGCACCAGAATAATGTTGTGATCTTCCAGGTAATGAAAATCTCAGTACCTGATGTTACCTTTTGCTTACTGTGCTGCAGACACTGCTCGAGTCTATGGTGGATGCAGCAGAAAACCTTTGCCCAAATGTCATGAAGAAAGCTCGCATCCGGGAAGATCTAATTGAGGCTAGCACTGAGAAGATTTCCATCCCACGCTCTTTTGTGAAAAATGTCCTCTTGGAGCAATCTGGAATTGATATCCTCAATAAAATTAGGTACTTTAAAAGACTAATTAATAAAATTGGTTATAGAATTTGGATTTGGGGTTGTGTGTATATGTGTTTGTGTGTTAGAACATTTTTTGAATGCTTTTGTGACTCACAAGAAACCATATTAAGGCATTGAGAGAGCACTAAATTGTGCTATGTGTCTGGTGAACTTAGTTCAGGAGATTCAAATATTTGGAATCTCCAGGGATGCTAACTTGATCATTAATGTTTCTGTTTTATTTAGTGAAAGTTTTAGTTTATGGTACACAAATAACATTTTAATGACTGATACATTTATTTTAAACCTGTTGATGTTCTCAGGTAACCCTGACTTACTGTAATAGAAGGAAATTGCTTTCAGTGTTAACAGTACTTTATCTGTTGCTGCATTTGGTCTTGTCCTGTAGCGTTCACTTTAAACCTTTTTGTTTGTGTGGGAGTTGTGCATAGCAGACAGACATACTTAAAAAATGAAAATGTGGATATTCAAACCACAAACCTGGAGCAGAAATGGTTACCCTATACAACTTTTAGTTTGCTTTAAAAAAAAAAAAGGGGGGAGGGAGTGGGGGACGAGGGAGACGAGGGAGGGAAGATTTACCTAACCTTTTACTGCATCTTTTTTTTTTTATATTAAATATATACGAGAGAAGATATGCAGTATAATGTGATTGACATTTACTTAAACCTTTGCAGTTGCCATCATTTGGCTAAGGAATCCTTTCTGCTTGATGGGAAAGCATGTCATTTTGTTTTGTGATTCTAATATTCTAATATTCCTTCTCCTTTGCAGAAGAAGGAAACAGTAAGGCTTAGAAATTAGTTTTGCAGAGTGCAGCAAAATTGGCAGGAAAAGGTGTTAAAGACTTTAGCTATGCCTTCAGAGTGTTTAAAATGGTTCGGGGAGTGAGTTTTCTTCACTACAGTCCTATCAAACAAATCTTGATTCTGGGACAATAATAGTGCCCTTATAGAGCAAAAAGAGAAAGCAAAGTTGTGATGGCAAAGACTGGAGAAGCAACATTGTATAGTTGCCCTTCAGCTGTCAAACACAAAAAGGAGTTGAGGAAATAAGTGAATTGTAGTTGTTCAGTATAGTACTGTTAAACAGGCAGCACTATCCTAATCCCATTCAGCTGAGCTTCGCTTCTCTGACTTCAGTGGGGAAGTGTTCCTTACTACGTTTTATGTGTGATTTCTATTCAGCTCTCTTACCCAGACGTTTTCATTTCAGCTCTTAGAAAAAATGTTAGAAGCAGGTTAAATATGGTACAGAGGCTCTTGTGTTTATTGTGTGATTCATGAGTTTATTTCTGAAACCTGCAGTCATGTATCCTGACACCCTCTAATGTTTTATTTCAAGTAAAGTGACAGCACTGTGGATAAGCATTGCACTGTTGAACATGTAATAATTCTCCTGCGTGAATTAGAATTTTCTCTGTCTCCTTTTTAATCTTCACACAGTGAAGTAAAGCTGACAGTGGCTTCTTTCCTGTCTGATCGAGTTGTAGATGAAATCCTGGATGCACTTTCCCACTGCCATCACAAACTGGTGAGTATTTGCGTGGTTGATATCTGAATATGCTGGGTATCTGAACAATGCCATTGCATTCATAACTTGTTCAGTTTTTCCCTGGCACCGCTCTGTTTTGAAATTAGCATCACTGGCATCATTTGAAATATGATCATGGGACTCTTGCCTCTTTGCTTTAAGGAAGATACAACCTCATAAGAGTCTGCATTATACATTTATCTTACTATCTTTTGCACTGTTATCAGATCTAAAATTAAAAATGCCATCAGGATGCAACATTGAGTCATTAGTTAAGAACAGCACCAGTATTTGCCATGGTGAGATAAGGGTTGGTTGCTTGTGGGATGAGAGGTAAAATGTCATTCTTTGGAGAGAGACTGCTGAGACCTTGTTCCCTGAATAAATACTTCTTGAGGCTACTTCAGAATGTAAGTATCAAGTTTGAAGAGAAAGGAGTAGAAATGTAGGAAAAAGAAACTGTTACTTGAAGGTGCTGAGCTGTCAGGAGGCACAACTATTTATTATAAAGGTACTCGCTTCATCAAAAGTAGAAGAAATAAACAATTATATATCTACAGAAAAACATTTTGATTTCTAATGCAACGGGCCCCTAATAAGGAGACTCTACTGGAGTTTTTTTAAAGAAGCCACTTGGGTGGTCATTCTCCTGATTGAAATTGCTCTTCATTTCTATTTGAAATTTCATGCAGGCATGAGTTTATTCAGATGCTTTTCCCCACAAGATAAGGAAGCCATATGTATTTCCTTTTATTTCCTCTCTATGAAAGTCCTCATACACAGAAAACAAACCACTCTTCCTTTCTGCCTCACCTTTTTTCTTTTTTTTTTTTTTTTTTTTTTTTTTTTTTTTTTTTTTTTTTTTTTTTTTTTTTTTTTTTTTTTTTTTTTTTTTTTTTTAATGGATTAAGAGACTGGGTAATTTGAGGGTGTGTTTCCATGATACAAAGCGGCATTGTGTAAAGATCCAACCTCTGGTCTCAGGAGCTATGCAGCAGCATCAGCCTGCTGTGTAGCTCCAGCTGGTCCTGGAACAGGCTCAGCTGGCATCAGCAGTGGGCTGTCTCTGTCCAGTGTTATTGCACAACTTGGACATACCCTGACTTTTGCACAGTAAGTCTTTCTCCAGCCTTTGAGTCACTCCATTAACAGTCCTCTGCACTTTCTCCAGCTGTTTTGAAAGCCTCTTTTAAAATTATGGTCCTCAGAACCAGACAGACTATGTTTTAACAAGCATGGAATATAGGAGTGAAATTGTTTTTCTCATGTTACTCTTTACTCCTCATATTTACATAGCCAGGGAGATAATAATTCCTTCCTTTTGTCAGAGTTTCAGTGGTAGTTCATTTTCCAGGACTGGGTTTGGTAGATCACCATCCCAGTAATGGCTTCTGGGTGCTTGTCACTTGCTGCTTTACAGGATTGTGTCCATAGCTAATTGCCAGTGCTTGTAGTTCCCAAGGCATGATTGTCTGTACATTTGATTTGAGTTGATTTACTCTGTGATCCATTTTGGCCTGTATTAGTTACATCCCTTTCACTTTTTAACTCTTCATTGTTTCTGGTATCTTTAGATTATTTAGATATTGTAGCACTGATGAAAACATTGAAGAATATGGATCTCAAAAATGCTGGTGGAGCAACTCCTGTCTAATTTGTGTTTGTCTTCAACTGACAGCTGCAATCTTAGAGCTGGGCAGATAGTTCTTAATACAGCAAAGATTAAATGCACTGATACAGTTCTGTGCCTTAAATTGGAGTGTCATGTACTACTAATTCAGCCACCTACAAATGTCTATGGATGTTGCATTGACACAGTAGTGTTTGAGGCAAATTTGAGAAATAAACCTTGTTGGATAAGACCTGTGTTTGCCTAATGTGATGATTATTATTCTAGCCATTTTAATGTGATTAAAGATAAATCTGTAACAGTTGTCCAGTTGCTTTTCCTGAGTAGACGCTATACTGAGTGAGCCATAATTTAGACAGGTCATCTGTTTACCCTTTTTGATGGTTAACAAAACTACAATCCGCTGGTTGTCCGGAGTCCTGCTGATGTTAAGCAGTAGAGTACAGCTCTCCCTAGCTGCCTCTTTGAAAGCTCTGTGACTAATTGTTTTGGGCCAGCTGATCTTCAAACACTCTTAACAGATGTTATTTAATATTCTCTTTAGTTACCAACAGAACTAGAAAGTATTTCATCATTTTCCTGACAACATGAACCCACTCCACTCCAAGTACAATCCGGCGTGCTTTATGTAACGTTCTCTGTGTTCTTAGTAACAGCTTTTGCTATGCAGGTCTAATAAGGGATTTTATTATTGATGGAGGATTTTTTCTCTGATACTTTAAAAAAAAAATCTTATCCCATGGATCTATCGATGATTTTTTTTTCTTGTTATGGTAACTCGTACCTATTTCTTAAATGAAACAGAACTGAAGTTTTTAACAAAGCTGTCCTGGTTTTTGAATAGGGGATGGCAACATTTTGGCCATCTAATAATTATCAAAATTATATTAGCTGAAACTGGACATGTCTTTGTGTTATTTAATTCAACAAATGGTCCAGAACAGAGCTTCTCTTCCACCTCTTTATTTTCTTCATAAAAAAAGATGGGACAAATGCCAAGGAAGCCCCATAAGACTATTCTAAGTAAAAATCAGGGTGGCTTTTATCTGACCTTTTTCCTTCTCTTTTTTCCTATTAAGACTTTCTCGCTTCCATCTTAGAATGTATGATGGAAGGAGTTTTCCATTCAAAAAAAGAGAAAAAAAAACCCCAAACCAAACCCTGTGTGAAGATTAACACACATAACTGAGCTTTGCTTTTGTAATTGGTCTTTAAGGATCTGTGATCCACTTAAATTCTGAAAGCTTTTTGGTTTGATTTGGTTTGCCATTTTTCAACAGTTTGATCGATCAGTTCCTGTCTTTACCCTTGTCTCCAGGCTGACCATTTGACCAGACGTGGCAAACCACTTCCACACCAGGAATCACTGGAAATTGAGTTAGCAGAAGAAAAACCAACTAAACGCTCTGTCATCACCGTTGAGGAGTTAACAGAGATAGAACGTTTGGAGGATCTGGACACTTGTATGGTAAGACACATTCCTCAGCCCACTTGGTTAAACGTGCAAATAAATGGAAGAAAGATGTTTTTCAAAATGTCATTTGGCAGTTTCATGGTATCAAGAAACTCAAGTTAGGAATTGGCTTCTAGAAACAATAAATGTTAGCTTGTGGACATTTTGTCCGAGTTGCATATTGCTGTTCAGCAACAGAAAAAGCTTTTCCTTTTTCTTCACTTTCACTTTCCCAGTATGTGTCTGAGGGCCTTTCCCTTGCATACATTGCTGCAGTCAAGCTAATGGAATAAAAGTCTCTTTCACTGGCTGCAGTTTCACAGTGGTTCAGTTGCACTAATAAATAGGTCCATGTTATCCCTTGACAACATGCTGCTTTCTGCTTTTATCTTCCTCCTACTTGGTGTGGATTCCTCTGAGAAATAACAAAAAATGTTTCTGCCTAGAAGTTATATTATTGGCCATGAACAGAAGCTGATATTTTAAAATTAGGTTTTGAATGTATGGAAGAAGTCTTAAAACCTTGAGACTGGGCCACAAGTGACCCTACAGGGCAAGCTTTTCAAAAGTAATTGAGTTAAGAGTGTGAGATTAAGTAAAAATGCTGGACATAAATCACTGAAGTGCCTTTTAAAATCCCATGTGTGACTTGTTATCATAAAGATGGCTCCATGCCATATCATGATCTTTGATGAGATGTAAATCTGCAGAATTCCAAATAAATGTGTTGCTAACTGTTTTCAACTTCAAATCTCCTTTCACCCAACTCAGTCTGTTGAGGAACTTTTGTGGGCAGGAACTTCAGAGAGCGGTTCTCTGTTACAACTTAGTCAGTCTAATAGGTGGTCACTGCTGCAAGGGATGGGCTTTCTCTTCTGACCTCCTACCTGGCTCCTTGGCCGTGTGCTTTCGCAGGAAGCTAAACTGGCAAAAAATTGATTGCAACTTTTTGTAGAATTTTTGTTGATTCAGCTCCCTGAACAGATTTCTGCAGAGTCAGACAAGTACAGCAGCTATCTGTTGGTCTCACTTAGCTATAAAGTGAAAGCACACCCTCATTGGAAATACCAGCTTAAAATAGTTCTCTCTGCCTTCCACATCTCCTTCTTCACCAAGATTTGATTTGATGCAATATCTGTCTGAACATCACAAATCCCCATGAGGCCTGGGTTGTTGACTGCATCATCTGGCTCATCACTGGTACTATCAAGTTCCAGATGCTTTCTGTAGCCAACATTCAGTAATCATTTAGAGCCCTGAATCCTATGGGGGAGAGACATCCCAGTAAACTATGTAACATCTGAACCCTGCACCTGTAAGTTACTTTTTGCATGCTGGCTTCATATATAGAAAAATAAGCTAAGCAGTGATTTTGACTCTCTCCTTCCCCCTTTAAATTTATTCTTGCAGCATGTTAAAAATAATAATAATGGAAATTTTAAAAATGGCTCCTGTCTTTATCTTATATCACCATAGTTATATGAAAAGATCATATTGCTGTGCTGTTATCTTTCATTTTGGTCATAATAAAATAATAGAAATGTGATAATGCTTACACTCTTTAAAAGGTGCATCAGTTGCTAACCATAGTTGCTTCAGAAGTGTTTATATCTCTCTTCATTCTCTTCATTCACCCTCATCTTACACAGAGATTCAAATACCTTTGTGACCCAGATTCTCATCAATATCTAATTTCTGAAGAGAATGAAGCATCAAATAAACACAAGGCAGTAATCTGAATGCTAAAGAACCCATTTATTAAACACTGTAATCCATTTTAACAGCTGCTTTTTGCATCCTGGGTGCAAGTGATATCAGTTGCGCTCGTAAAAAATAGATAGATAGATAGATAGCCCTAAAAGGCTGAATAATACGGGGATTTTTACTGAGCTAGTGTTCTTACTGAGTTTTTTGCAACTAAAAGCATCTTAAGAATGGATTTCTTATATTTTCTGGGCTGAGTTAGTGACTCCCAAGATAGTGGTTTCCAAGTGATGTATTTTAGCTATGGGAAAATCATACAGATTTCAGATATTGTCTTTGAAAAATTAACCTGATTTGTAGCAGCTTTTAAGCTTCATACAGATATTTGCATGATGATGAGGAACCTCCTGAAAAGGGCAGCAGTGAATGCTTTGTGAGCTGTCCAGTGCAGGAAACAGGCACATTGCTGAACTACTTTACTAGAAAGAGAAGCATATGGTTTTATGAACTATAATTAGGAACTTCATTTCTTTTGATTATTTTTAATCTTAAAATGAGAAATAGCTATTTAGATCCCACTTCTAAAATGGCATTAGTCCAGAACACTGCCTTATTTGGCCATTGGAAATCCCTAAGCAGTACAAGGTGTAATGCTGAAACAGATCTTAGATGCGTAAGTAGATGATGCACCTCACTGTGTATTCTGCAAACATCAAATTTGCAACCTTGAATTGCAGCTTCATGTTGTGCATGTTTGGGAACGCACCCTCCTATTACCAAAAGACTGTGGAACAGGGATGAGGCTGATCGTGTCATTGGGATGCCAGGAAAAACTCTACTATTCTTCTTCCAGTTTATTCTCTACCAGTTTGCTCCAACTGTTTGTCAAGATATCTGGGGCAGAAGAGATTTGGGGCTTATAGGAGAGGCACTGAGCTTGGACCATCATTTTGTGGAAGCCGTTTTAGCTGGGTTTTTTTTTCCATTTGGAAACGGGATTTTCTTTGCAAACCCATTATTTTCAGCAAGCCTCTTATCTTTGTTCTTATTTTCTTCAAGAAGCCTATTGAGGATCAGTATTCTGGCTATGGCAATGTATACAACAGCATGTTGTTATGCACCAGCCTCCCTTGAAGCTGTGTTTGAACAACTTGAGGAAAAACTGGGTAAAGGTTCAATTTTGACTTCATAGCTGCAGGTAGATTATATAGCACTGAAACTAGGTGAATGACTATGAATAAGGTAGATTATTTGGAATAAAATGTTTATAAGCTTTTTGTTCTTATATGCAGATCGAAATTGGAAGACACACCAGGTTTGTTTATAAAATTCAGACAGGCAGAACAGGGGTCTGAAACCTCCAGTGCTGGTGATAGAGTGGACAAACCATTACTCCTGTTTCACAGACTGCCCACCTTTTGAGCAGGATGCAGAGTGACTGTGACTGGGATGATTTTTGTGCCAGAGTAGAGACTTGCCATCCATTGCAACCCATCTGCTTCAAAGTTTGATGTGTATAAACAACACAGATAAGACAGAATGAAATATCACAAATGGTCCTTTGAAATGCCCCACTGAAAAAAAAAAGACTTTTAAATGTTATTTCTAGTCTTTTTTTCACTGTGGGAATTAGGACTCTACTAAATACCAAGCTGTGCAGTTAAATTTTATTAGCTTCAATTTAGGACATGATTCTCATCTAGCCTTTAACTCTGGCCAGAGAGCCCATAATATGAAAGATTTGTCAGTCATAACAGAATTTCCTTGTCTGTTGAATGAGTTATGAAGAACGCTGGGAGTGATTGAGTGGTCCAGCATAGGATACGATAGCTGGAACATTATGGACCCAGAGTTTCCAGTCTCCCTGAGCTGCACTACAGGAAATTGATGCTTCCCTAAACTACAGCTCTTCTTAGTTGTCTATGTTTAATTAGAGCTGCATTGATGGTAATAAGTCATTAGAAAAAAGTTGTCTGCAGGTCAGATGGAAAGAAGAATCTTTATGCAGAAAATTACTTGCTGTTCTCAGATTAAATGAAAAACCATGGCCTGCTTTTCAGAGCTTAGACTCAATCATGAATTAACGTCATAAAATAGTACAGTTTCTCTAAATTTTTCTGTGTGTATATGACAAGAGTGACACATTTTAAAATAATGCATACATTTTAAAACTATTTTAAAATAAAGCACCCTTATTTACTGGGATTGAATATCTGTATCTTGGTATGTGTAATAGTGTAGGTAGATACTAACTGATTTAATTTATGTAATGCTTCCAATACTTTATCTGTATTCTTTCATAGCCATTAGTTCTTGGCAGAAGTAAGAGATATTAAATGGTGCTCAATTCCCCACCAAAAGGTAATAGAGCATCTTTGTTAGATTGTGATTAATGGTTACATTCTAAAGCTTTGGGGTTTTGGGGGGGGGTTGGGGTTTTTTTTTAGCTATTTGAATGTTAGTTTGGCTTCCAGAATACTGAAAGGAGATCATCAGAGTCGAGCCACTATTTAAAGAAAAGTTTTGAGGGAAATAGCTTTTTTACTAGAAATCCATGTACTCATCATCTTAAAAATATCCATTTCGGCAATATAATTTTATTACTATACTTAGTTACAAGCACAGAACCAGGATAAGTATTGTTTTTAGAGCAAAGCAGAGGTTATTTGCGTTAAGAAGAGGGATGGTAGGAAGTTGTTTGAAACATGTAAAGGAATTGTAGGTTGTAATGCAGAAGTCTACTTATAATCTTCCTTAAAGCATTTCAGTGTAAGATTGAAATGCTTGGATGGTGAATTATGTGTTTGCAAAAATGCTTGTAGCTAATAAAGAACTGCCTGTGATTAATATTGAATCTATTTCTAATTTTAACCATAGAGATAGTTCTGTGACTTTAATGGAGGAAAGATTTAAAAAAAAATAGTAATCCATGAGAAATACATTAATGTTTTAGTCTTTATTGAACAATAGAAGACTATTTCACCTCTACAGTAGAGAAGAAAATTTGTAGAAGTAGCAGAACACTTGTAGATAGGTGGTGTATGTTTTTTTTTTTTTTTTCTGGGAATGTACTAACTAGTTACTGTCAAAGATTTAGCAGATTAGTCCAGTATCCAGGTGAGGACTTCTGAACCCATGGGTTCTGAAAGACAAAGAGTGTGTGGACCTCAGTGTTCTCAGGGAAAAGGAAGAAACTGCACTCACCGCATGAGAATTTTTTATTTTTATTTTTTTTCATTAAAACTCATAAAGCACCACCTGAAAGCTCTTCTCTCCCCACCCCCTCATCCAAAGCGAATTAGACTTAAACC